ATTTGGGTCGTTGTGAGTGGATGAACTATTCCGTGTTAAGGATATATGAGATACATATTGAGGAAGTAGTGAAGTTGGATGAGATACTGTCGAATGTTGTGTTAGATTGAAATTTGAGATTTATATTGAGATGTTGGAGGGGCTTACAGGAAGCTTCAGGTACTAAGTTGAAGTTGAGTTCGGCTTACCATCCGCAAACTGATGGTCAGTCAGAGAGGACTATTGAGTCTGTAGAGAATTGGTGAGAGCTTGGGTATTGGATCAAGGTGGATCGTGTGATGAGTAATTACCGTTGATTGGGTTACCTATAATAATGATTCCCATCCTAGTGTCGAAATGGCACTATATATGGCTTGGTGAGATAGGGAGTGTAGGACTCTTCTGTGTTGGAATAAGTCGAGTGGGAGTGTTGTGCTCAGACCGAGAATTATGCTTGAGATGGCTGAGAAGATCAAGAGGATATAAGGAAATATGTGTTTTGAGAGTCACGTCGGTGACTGGTGCTGGTCGGGTTTCGAAATCTCGGAAGTTCGCATCGGGTTCTATGGTTGTATCAGAGTAGCGCAGCGGAGGCATGGGAGGAGTAACATGTTAGATCGTTTTGCCGCTGTCGCTGTGAATTGGCATGACGTGTTTCATGTGTCTTCGTTGAGGAATTACATTGAATCATGTGGATGATGTACCAGTGAAAAATAATTTGATTGTGGAGGCATTGCTAGTTCGTTTGACGAACGAGAAACAACTCCGAGGGGAGGAGATAACTTTGGTGAAAGTGGCATGAGGGGGGTGCTGCAGAAGGCAGTGTGACCTGAGAATTGGAATGAAGGATGCGGGAAGCGTATCCGGAACTATTTCCATCAGGTAATTTTCGAGGACGAAAATAATTAAAGTGGGGGAGAGTTGTAACACCCATTTTAATTATTTAGTCATTTTATTACTATTTTAATTATTATATGTTGGTGTGCCCTTTGGTGGGGGTGTGTTTGATGATGATTGGTGGGTGTCCCTGATATGGGAGGATTATTGGTGGTGAATTGGTGTGAATATAATAATAAAATAAATAGTAGTAATATGGTAATATTATTATTATTATTTTTTTATTATTATTATTATTATTATTATTATTATTATTATTATTATTATTATTAATTGTAGTAATATTATTAATAGCGGAGAATATTATTATTATTAATATTATTACTATTATTATAACTATTAGTGGGAGAATATTATTATCATTATTATTATTATTATTATTATTATTATTATTATTATTATTATTATTATTATTATTATTATTATTAGTATTATTAATAATATTATTGGTGGAGTATTATTACTATTATTATTAATATTATTATTATGGGTGAAATAATATTATTAATATTGCTATATGTATTATTATTATTATAATGATTATTATAATTATTTATATTAGTAATATTATATTAGTATTACTATTAAGATTATTATTATTATATTATTTTATTAAGTTATTATTATTATTAAGATTAGATAATTAAAATAGGGAATGTGAGGGGTTAGTGGTTTTTTTTTACGATACATTTGGAGAGTTGGGAGAAAGAACGAGAGAAGTGAGAAGAGCGTAGAACGAGCAAAGGAACGAGGAACGGAAGAGAAAGGAGAAAGCCAAGAGACCAAATCTAGGAGGATTTCCATCGATCAAACCGATTAACAATGTAAGGGGGAGAAACTTGATTGGGATGGTATTTACATGTATAGGGTAGTGGGGATTCCTTAACCCCGTAGGAATGTATCGGTGTATGAAGTTTTATGTTGTCATGCCTATAATTGTTGATTGATGTTGAGAATTGGTATTTGATAAGCCAATGAGGAATTGATATATGTCGATGTTGATGAATTGTTGTTTTTGGTGGTTTGGGGTATTGGTTGGGTTTACGGTTTTAGGGAAGTTCCTGTATAACCTCTGTGGTTTGGATAATGACCATGAGTATTGGTGAGATTTTGTGTAACCTCTGTGGCTTGGGTAATGACCATGATATAGGTTCTGAGATGTAGTTTAAGGAACAATTGATTAGAGTAGTGTGTGATAGTTGTAGTAATGATAGGGCAGAGGATGGATGAAGAGTGATAAGCTTGGAATTGATCAAGATGACAGTGTTGGACGGTAAGGTTGGGTTTTCGTATGATCATTGTGATGGTGTAATAGTGTATGATGGGTAGGATCACATTTAGGATAGAAACCCCTAAATGCCATGGTTTTGAAAAGTATGGTTATATGATATATGATCACATGATCTTTAAAAATATGTTGTTGGCTATTATAATTGTCATATTATGGTAGGATTTTGAATTCTGAAACCGGGGCTTTTTACGGAATTGAAATCGGAGGTCCGGAAGGCCTCCAACGATGGAAAACACAGAATTTTCTGCATTCTGCGCTGTTTGCATCGACTCAAAGCTGTATATTGATGAATTTTCTGTTTTGACGATTTTGGCCATAACTTTTGATCCGTAAGTCGGATTTAGTCCCCGTTCGAAGCGTTGGAAAGCTCTTGAATAGATCTATAACATGGTATAAATAATATAGTTATTTGCCAAATATTTTTAAATCCAATATTTTTGGGGAGTCATTGTTTAATTAAATAGTAACTAAACCATGGATCGATTGAAATGATTTATTGATTATTTACTTGAGTTTAATTGTTGTGCACTTAGTGTGCTTGTGTTTATTGATGGTGTAATATATATAATGTATGGTGATGTGATCAGGAGGATCGTGTGCACTTAGTGTGCTTGTGTTTATTGGTGGTGTAATATATATAATGTGTGGTGATGTGATCAGGAGGATCGTGTGCACTTAGTGTGCTTGAGTTTGTTTGTCGTGCATTGTTGTCGTGCATTGGTGTCGTACATATCATGGTGTCTGGTGGGATGAATCATTGCTCAGGAGGAGTGTATGTGATTCATCCGTACTCCTTTGTGGAGAATGGTGGGGATAGATCATATCTCAGTAGGAGCGTAAGTGATCTGTCGGGGATAGATCATATCTCAGTAGGAGCGTAAGTGATCTGTCGGGGATATATCATATCTCAGTAGGAGCGTAAGTGATCTGTCGGGGATAGATCATATCTCAGTAGGAGCGTAAGTGATCTGTCCAAGGTTCGATTGAATGAACCAATGAGTCGGTACCGCATGCATGGTGTTGAGTTACATATTTGCATTATAATATGTTATATTGTAATTTGAACGGTAGGTTCGTGATTGGTGTTGTGGGGTGAATATTGGTGTGTTTTAATTATTATATGTTATATGGATGTTTGAACAGTAGGTTCATGATTGGTGTTGATGGGGTGAATATTGGTGTGTTTTAATTATCATACGTTATATGGATGTTTGAACAGTAGGTTCGTGATTGGTGTTGATGGGGTGAATATTTGTGTGTTTTAATTATTATATGTTATATGGATGTTTGAACAGTAGGTTCGTGATTGGTGTTGATGGGGTGAATATTGGTGTGTTTTACTACCTTTATTGCATGTATTAAATTACCGATATATTTTGATCATGTTTTCTCACCCCTTTGTTGTGTTGTGGTCTGTGCTTCCTCGGAAGTACAGATAATCCAGGTACATAGATAGCTTGGATGGCGGTGTGCAAGTCGAGTCTTAGGATGCTCTGATACGTAACACGGGATATGGGTGTTTTATTTATTTATGTTAAACTTGTTGAAAATCCTGTGACGTATCACATTTTGGTGAATTATAATAATAAAGATTTTATGTAAATCTGGCGGATGGCCGTTGGAATAATAATTTACGCTATATTATTTTGAAAATAATGAATAAAGTATTTTTGATAACTATTGGTGATGTGATATCCCACAGTTTTTGTGAAAACTCTGATGTTTATTTATAATGTTTATATTTTATTTAATTTGGGAAGTGGGGTGTTAGACGAAGCAAAAGCCAGTTAGGGTTAGAAAAAAAGGAGGGAAAATTTGGGGTGCAACAGGACCCCATGGAAGACACTAGCATTTTTGTATTGTTGAAAAGGTCCAGCCGCAATAAAGGACCTACTGTTCAAGAAAGGACTTTTATTTCCACTATATTTTATAAGAAGCTCAACAGGACCCGACAGTTATTCTGCATAATCATCAACTGACTTTAACTCTACTAAATAAACACAGTTTTGTACGCACAGACATTTGATCAGCCAGAAATTGGATGCGGATTGCGGACATGACTCAAGGATTAAGCCTACAAGCATCTTCGTTTTGTTTTTTTCTATAACTTCAAACCATTCTCACCATAAAGTAAGTCTTACAAATCGAGAAACGTCCAGTTACGCAGAATGTAGCCATGATGAGAAAAACAACAACAGAGAATCAACATCACATAAAATCAAAATTAGCATCATGAGACTCTTATGGCCAAGACCTATGCATTAACAGGTCCAAAGCATGATTTCCAAAAGGCTTTATATCTTTATGAAATCCATGGATAAGAGAAGAAGACATGGGCAACAATGTATTACAAGTTTATCACATCAAGTTTTATCTTGAAACAATATGCAAGGAACTCTTTATCTATCTAAGATTATGCCAAGCATGAAAAGGAAGAAACAAGCTTACCATTATATAGAAGGCCATGTACTCGTCGCCGATTTGTACTCATTTCAAATTTCCTTAGAATCTCTATTGAATAAACATGAAAACTACAAGCAAGTTCGGGATTATTCATACCAAAGTGTGACAATAAGCTTGAAAGAGATCATTGGGTGAGTGCAAAAGGAAGCGCATAAATTGTTGTTCCAAATATCTCCAAATTAAAATTGGGAACCAATCACACAAAAAATTAGGTTTGGAATCAAACAGAAATAAGATTCGTCATCACGAACAAGGAAAGAATCAAGGAGAATGGAAATCAAATATTCACGAAATCAATTAAAAATTAGCAAAGTATCAGCAAAATATCATAATTAACAACAACGCACAATATCTTTCCAAAAAGTCATCAATGGAGAAACACAAGGGAGATGAATTGAAAGAAAAGCATAATACACGCATAAATACACAAAATAGCTCACATACAGAAAGTGGCGGCATCATGAATACGCACAGTTTCAGTGGCATAGCAATAAAGAGTTCACCACGGATTGAAAAGAAGAGCAAAACAATACACATCAACAATAGCAATAGCAAGAGAATTGGTACCTCAATTCGGCTTCAGATTCAATACCAAAGTGGACTCGCAGAAGTGGGGAAGGAAATCCCTTCAAAGTTGTCAACATCGAAACCGCCGCGTCAAAGGCATTCTGAGGTATGCGATTTCTGCTTAATTAGCAATATGTTGTAGTTTCGATTGTGTTTTTTTTTTTAATTTTACATCTCAATCGCGCGGTAAGTCGAGGTTTCTTCGATTCGACATGAGACGAGCGAGCAAAGAGAGAGGAAGGTGATGAATACGATGATGAGAGAGGTATAGAGGGGCCATGCGTCACGATCGGAGCAAGAAGGGAGTGAGAGATGGTGCGACGGAGGTAGTATTGGAAAGAGGGTGGTTCGTGAAAGTGAGTGACTAAAGAAGAACGGAACATTGAAGTTGATGTTGGTGTCTTGAGAATGTAGTGCTGAAAATTCATCTCATTAACCTCTTCTTTTTTTTGGTTGATTCATCATGGTAATGGGCTTAGTGATGCAAGCCCATATGTTTTTATCTTTTTCACATCCTCAAGTTTTTTTTACCCCATTTTAATTAATTTCATCTTTTTTTTTTATATAATAAATAAATTAATACTAATTGATTTTAATTTGTAATTAATTATTGATTGATAATCTGAGATTAGCGATAATCGGAATTTGTGATTAATTTTGTGATCAAAAGTCATGATTAAGTATTAAATGTAGGATTAACTCTTGGGTCATGTTGGTGATTAATTTCTTGGTTTAATTAGCTTTCCATTGATTGAGTTTTTGTTAAGATTTTCTTATATAATTTTATGAACTCCTTTATTGTTTTCTTATCAAGATACGTTGTTTAATGATATGTTGTACTTCAATGATATGATTGTCGTTGTCTATAGGATTCCTACGTCCCTTTAAGATTCCTGACTCAACTTTTTCATTGATAAATTGAATCAAGATAAACATTAGGATTAACTTCTCTGATATGACAATTTCTAAGACAGTCTGCCTATATCTTAATTTTAGGATCACTTTTGCATGATAACATTAAGTTAGTTCTCCTTTGATCCTAACTATAGGACCATTTTGCATGAAAACGTCAAGGACCAAGTCCCCTACAGATCTTACGTTGCATCTCTCTTCTGTCTCATATAAATTCAAAATACTTAATAACTACGATGTGTATTGGGCGTCACGAGCCTTAAGCACATGGGAAAAGATAAGTGGATGCATTTCAAACCTCGTCTTAGGGTACTTTGTGCGCGAGACATTTAGATTGTTAGTGTGAAGTATTCTCTCCTATGTCATAGACTTTATTGTCACACACGTCACAAACAGAGTCAATTCACTTCTTTAAAACAATTGAACAAATCCAAATCATTCTGTCCTTCAGGATTTCCTTTCAAACCTTTTCATGAAGGGCATATTACTACCGTTCTACCGTAAACAGGCATCGACTCTAACTACAGGGACACAATTTTAGCATCGCTCATAAAAGACACCAACCAACCATGGTAGGTCAAACTACGAGTGCTCTGACTTCTTCATTCTCGCCCGAATGAAGATACGTAGGCACAAGATGGAAAAGTCTTGGCAAGGGCAATCCCTCCATTCACCCATAGTCCTCTTAACTACGTTGACTCTGACTTTCCCATTACACGAGGGAATATGTAGGCATAGGACGGAAATTTCCTATCGAGTCACCTTTTGTTCAGTTTTCATTTAGTAAGTAGGCTTTAGATTTTAACACACCCTTTGATTAGAACAACAAGAGTGGATCATGTTAAGTATAACGGATGCGAGGGGTGTTAATACCTTTCTCTCACGTAATCGACTCTCAAACCCAGGATTTAGTTGTGAGACCATGTGTTCTCCCTTTTGAGGTTTCTTTTATTATTTCATTTCCCTTGTTGGGATAAATAACATTCAGCGGCGACTCTATTTTTCCGCCGGTTGTTTTTTGCGCTGCGACAGCTGGTGCCTCTGTTGGGGACTTATATTTCGTATGAGAGTCAATCCTAGTTCTTGTCTGTTTATTTTCATTGGGTGTTCGTCTTTTCTTTATTTACTGCATTTATCGCATTTTCTTGCATTTATTTGCTTATTACTTTCATATTACTCTCTTGTTGTTACGCTGTTGGGGGGTTGATTCTATGAGAGATAAGCCCAGTACCCAAGCTTGAGTGCACACATAAGATTAGAGTGGGCTCTTGTTGACTTGCATGGAGTTTGATACGTATTGTCGACTCGAGTTCACATTCAGACGAGGCTTTCTTGGGAGATGCTTTGTCCTGTATGTTTATAGAGTAGACAGAATATTCCTTTGGGAGCTTATGACTCTAGAGACCGTTCATGGGAAGTCAGTTGAGGCCTCCTTGATGGATGATGATGCCAAACCAGAAATGGTGAACATATCATCATTTCTTGACCCGAGAGCCCGTGAGATTGAGGACCTGCTAGGATGCCATACAAGACTAAAACCCGCACGTGAGAAGGGATGGGTTTTTTCAGAAAACCTTGACCTTAAACCTACTAGGTCGTCTGATTTTCTTATGGATTTTGAACCTGGTATTATGGACTTCTGTTATGGTATTCTGGACATCTAGTATTATGGTATTATGGTGTTATAGCATTTTGGTATTTCGGTATTCTCGTTAGAGCAGAGTGTTGAACCTATTCCATCAACAAGACAACAACTATTCGGAATATGTGGCAACCTTGATCCCATGTATTTGCATTTGCATCGCATCATATCTGCATCCTAACATTTATTTCCAGGGTTTGTATCTTATCCTTGATTGAAGTTGTTGAAGATTTGCAGAGATGGACACTGGTAGGAATGATACCGTCAGGTACAAAAAAGTAATTTAGAGTCTTTCGAGGAAGACTATGGGAATATCTTAGGTATGCTCCATACCATCATAGAATATGAAAGGATATCTATTCATACATTACCATAATTCTATGGGGTGATTCGCATTTAGAGAATATCAGTTAGCCCCTACGCTTGAGGAGTTCTCAATTATATTGGATATCCCAGTCAAGAATCACGTACCCTTCCATGAATCTATGGAAGTTCCTGCTCCTGAAGCTATTGTCGATGCTCTTATATGAGCACATCTGTGGTAAAAGGCAATCTTCGAGACAATGGAGATTTATCCGGTTTTCTTCTGAGTTATCTGCTATTATATAATTATTTTTTCCAGTGTTCTATCCATCTCTTATTGCTTTATTGTTGTTAAAACTTGAATAAAGGTGTAGATTACCCATGGAAATAATCAAACATGGCATTTGCATTGCATTTTCATGGTCATGTGCATAACAGGTGTTCGAGGATGGTCATTGTTACCCTGATCTGGTTTTCTTCAGAATTGCAGACTAGATCCTACTCAAAGTAGCTAGAAGTTGATCACGGAGAAGATGCAAGCAAAATTGATGGAAGTCAGAAGCCAGATGGGGCAGTTCATGGTGGACACACAAGCCTTATTCCAGGGTCAGAAACTGCTAAGGGAGGAAGTCCATCAACTGATGACTCAGGTTAGTTTGGTTATGGAAATCTTGGGATCGGTGTTGAGAAAAGAAGGACATCTTATGCATGAGGCTACAACATAAGTGGTTATAGCTCTCTTTCCAATAGGATCTCTCCTGAATCAGGAGCTACCTCGTGAATCTCATCTGGAACTTGAGGTTCCAAAAATTTCCCATCAACATCCATCTCCTAATTCCCAAGAGAATCCTAAGGGCAGAGGGTACGAACCAAGGCCAAGGAAGCATGTGAAGAAGTTTGATATGATTCTGATGTCGTATGCGCAGTTACTCTAACACCTGCTCAAGCTTTAGTTGATTAAGCTCATTACTTTGGGACCTCCTCCTGCAAAACTTCCTCTCGAGGTACAATTTCAATGCTAGGTACGATTTCCATTCTGGGGCACCTGGTCACAACATCAAAGATTGTACGAGGTTCAAATACAAGGTCCAAGAGCTCATTGATTCAAAGGAAATCGCGTGCACACAGGGTGATCCTAATCTGGCTGTTTCAAAAGATATGGATGCTATTCTCCTTTCTCCAGGTTCAACCTCAGGACAGGGGCCTATTCCACAATCTTGGGTTCCAAAATCTCCATGTCCACAACTGTTGAATATTCCTCAGTCAGGTCTGGAGAGGAAAGTGTCTGGACAGGTTTGGCGTCTAAATCAGAACCATCCCCAGAAGAAACGACAAAAGCCAAAGAAGCCTGAAAGGCAGCTTGATGCCATCAACATGTTGTACGCACAGTTATTGCATGAGCTTCTCAAGCATTAGTTGATTCAGTTAAGGAGTTTTGATGCTTCTGCCCAGCTATCACCAGGTTATGATGCAACTACAAGATGTAGGTTCCATTCAGGGGCATTTGGCCATTCAGTCGAACATTGCAGAGCTCTGAAGCATCAGGTGCAAGATCTGATTGATTCAAGGGTTATCACGATCACAACAAACGGTATACACATCAATTGGAGTCTCCCAAATGAGAAATCATACTACAAAGACATCTTCAGAAGCAATAAGTCCAGACGGAGTCAAGTCTCCTCAACAATAGCAATCTGGAGCTTTCTTTACTGAATTTTCATTTGTACTTTCATTGTTTGTTAAAGCATTGTTTGCATGTAGAAATTTTTTGTTTTTGAATGATAATCTTAATGCAATGAGTATGTTTTTCTTGAAGTAACCCATTCACGTTCACTCATAAATATATTTCTGTGCACTGCAATACCAACTTTCTTTCTTAAACTCTCTGAGGGAAGACGATGAAGTAAAAACGCAAACTTTCTGGTTGTATGCTTTTGGAATAGAACCTTGATGATGATGTAGAAGAATTTTTTCAAATCCCCAAACACCAGAGATATAAAGGAGATAGACCCTTGTTAACCCCGTTGAGCCTAGAAGTAGGATTTTTTTTCATACAAAAAAACTTTACATCTAACCTAGGGGCAAGGTAGTCATCCGTTATTCTGATCAGGCATTCAAGTTTCTAAAGGAGTGTGCATCTTACGATCAATCACCTTTCTTTCCTCACTCATCAGGGGATTAAATATGTGAAACCAAAATGGTTATTCCTCATCAACGAAGGAATGAGGCGGTCACAACTCTTTCAATCAAGTCAGACGAGCCAGTGTCACACGATTTGTTCAAAA